ATATTAACACATTAATATTACACCTTCATACCTCAACTCTCTCAGCTGAAACACATATCACTGTAACCTATTCCTAAAGTACTTTCATACCATATATCTCTAGCGCCATTCTAGGGGTGGTCCACTTTGGAAGTCTTCCCGAGAGTTCATTTAAAAGTGTCATGCAATTGTTTCTGAAGGTTGTCAGTGGGTGTCTCTACCCATCTGTATTTTCATACTTCTGAGTTGTGCATATTTTGCTGCATTGTGTATAATTCCCCCTTTTTTTTCCCAGACTCAACTGCAATCAAGATTTGGGGAAGGCCCAGCTATGCCAAAGGAGCCTGTTCAGCAACTGATCCTCGATGAGCATGGCAGGACACTAGATCTCAGTGGAAAGGAAGTTACCCTCGTTCAGCACATGCCCGAACTGAAGGTATAGTTTGGTGATAGAGTAATTAATCTGTATATTAGTTGATTATGAAAGGGTAAATTAGGACCTTTGTCGATAAAAGATTGGATGAAATGATATATATTATGCCACTGGTTCATGTCTACTGGTAGTCTTTTTAGTCTAGACCTACAAATCATATCACCTGAATAAATGCAAAATAATTTGAACTTTGGGAAGAAATTATATTACATAACATGCCTGTTCCTGCATAACTTCAAAAGTCATGAGATACACTGGATGGATGCTGGATCTACGTCATAAAAAATATCAGCTCACTATTAATTGAAACCGCATACTTATAAATTTAACAAAAGTAGTGAGCCTACTGATATTCACTGGAACTTGTATTTGTTATGCTTAGACTACTCCTCCACTTAAATTTGGTTTTTATTTTCCCAATCAGAACTTAGAGTGCCATGTATCAATAATGATGTTTTTCAGGCCAATATCAGAGCCAAGAAAAGGGAGCAGTTCACCAAGAAACTCCACGACAAGTCAGGAGAATCCTCGGCCGAGGCAGCCTTCTACGACTCTCGGATCGGAGCGAGGAACCCCCTCAGGCAGCACCGTGGCTTTCACTTCCACGAGAAGGGGAAGTTTCAGCAGATGGCTGCTCAGATGAGAATGAAGGTCTGCATTTCCACTTTTGTTTTGTTTGGGCTGCTGAATGATTGCAAATTGAAGGCTTAATCTTTTTCTTTTCGGTTGTTTACGTTATTAAGGAATTATAGTGCAGTTATGCATTCTCTCAGGATATGGTGAAGAAGTTCTTTCCATCTGAATAAGTAGTTGTTGGAGTGGCACTAGGAATGCATTTGATATTGGCTTACTCTTTCAGTATTTTCTTTCATTTCTTTATATTCTATTCCTTCAACCATCAGTTGAATTGTCCTTATCATAAAAAAAAGGCTGGTCAGGTTTCCAAAAGCCACTTTCACCTCACTCCCTGCTGAAGCTTGTCTGCTCAGAAATCAATGAGGTTGTGCCTAAACATGCTCTGATGTGGCTTTTTCTATAACATCTTTGGATACTTGTCAACTGGTCATTTTATGAGAATTGAATTGGCAGCCCTCATTCCCTCTAATGAAGAAGAGTTCTTGTTTCAAAGTCTTTGGTTTTGGCTGCCTAGGCACAACTGGAGAGAGTCCAGAGCGAAATAGCACAGCTGGCCCGGAAGACAGGCATCAGTTCTTCTGCAGGACTGGCAACCATAACAATGAAGAAGGGAGAACAAGCCAAGGTCCTAGACATCATCCCAGATGTCGAATGGTGGGACACCCGCATCCTCACCGCTCAGCAGTGAGTCTTTGCTGCCTTCTTCCATGAAACCTCAAAGCTTGATCAATTTTAGTATGATATTCTACCATTGGTATGTCATTTTCCTT